TAACCACCCTGCACTTCTCTCCCCAGCACTGGTGCCTCGTGGCTGGTCACGATTCCTCAGCTCGTTAGAGCAGTGCAAGGGACTGGCTCTCACTGGACATGAGTAATTCCTGAAATATCTGATGGTGCACAGCTCTTTTAGAATGGATTTTAGAGCGTGGAGTCCTCATCTCTGTCTACATTGGCCAGAGCAGGAGATGAACTTGTTCTTGCTCTCCACAGGGGATTTACTGTGTTCTATTCACAGACACCCAGCATGGGGCTGCAGGGGGGAGCATCTTGCTGCTGAGGGCATTTTCTTTTACTCTGCAGCTCCTGTCTCACTGTGCTCTGCTTTACTCTGAGGATGCTGCAAGCACAAAGGAAATCCAGTGGTTATTGAGACATTCTCCTGCTGCATCCTTCCTTTAGCCCAGTTTCAAAGCACTCACTGAAACCCATCTCAATCCCTCTGGATCCCCTTGCTATCATCAGGAAGTTTTTGTAGTGAATAGAATAAGAAAATGACTTCTTATCTTCTGCACTTTAATTGACATTTATAAATAGTTTGTGCATTTAAGGACACTATTATTGGATGGGTTGAATACTGCTTTGTAATATTCCTGCTCTTAATATTTCTAGTTGTGTGCTGTTAGCAGTATGTGAAAATGGACCAGGAGTGACTTCTTGGATCATTAAGTCCAATCCCTCTGCAACAGTATCAAATAAACTTTTTCATTAGCCTACCAAGTTCTGTCTTAATGATAATAAGGTTTATTGCTCTCTCTACTCCATTTGGATGAATCCTGAGTATCAGAACCTTTCTGGTTAGAAACCTGCTAATATCTAACCTAAATTTATTCAAACCCAGCTAAAACTTCTGGACTTTTCTTAAATGGTTCCTCAGCATATTTATTTTGAAATAATGACCCTTTATGGTTTTGCTAGACTTGGCAAATGTTCTTAGGCTTTTCTTATAGAAAAACTCTCTTAAAAAGACCTTCCTCTTGCCTGTCTCAGTTTTCCTTTGTAGCAGAGCTCATCGGGTTTGGCTGCTGAGATCAGTAAAGAAATGAAACCCAAAATTATCACTTTGTCTTCCTGCTATTTAAACTCTTTGCACATCTTTAGTCATTGCAATGACTCTGAGTCATTACTTGTTAAAATTTCCATCTTTATTTCTGAAATTAAACCCCTCTTTTAAGTGCCTCTTCTATCCATGCCTGCTTTAAACCTCTGGTTATTCTTCCAGGGCAGAATGTCTGCAATCTGGAAGTCCTTATTCCAGGTGGGCTTTCAACTGGGATTTCTGGAGAACAGTTCTGGCTTTAATGTTTTGTGGGTTGATATCTATGGTAGATATATGTGCAATTTGCTGTTTCAAGCATTTCCACATTTGTTTCATCCTCAGTAAAAACACACAATAGCCAAAATTACTTTTCTCTGTAACACAAAAGGTTTTTTTATTAACATGATAGCAAAAGGAGAGGGAGGAGGGAGTTTGAAATAAATGCAAGCTACACCTAGTTCAGTATTACATATAAACTATATATAAAATTCAGTGTTCAGAGCTCTGAGATCTGAGTAATATGAAAGTTAAATGTATAATGATGGAAAATGCATGTCTGAAAGTTAAGTGTGAATGTGAGTTTGTGCAGGGAACATAGGGAACACAAGCCAGCAGGAAAACTTGAATATGTGAAAGATGAAATAAGGGCAACATAATGTTTGTTCTTCAATGGTTTTACTATCTCAGTGGGTCCTTTTGTAGACTTCAGAATTGGGCAAATATAAATCTCTTGATGCAGCTCTTATCAGCTTGTCAAGAGTCAGCATCCAAAAGCTGAGTGAGCATCCAAAAGCTCCTGTTTCCCTTGAGATATCTGGGAGAAGGCTGAGTTAAAAGTTCAGTCACCTCCTCCATGACATTTGTCTGTTCCTGGCTTGGATTGGGAGCTGTTGATAGCAGAAGGGATGTTGGCTTTTTTTTGTTGTTTGTAAAGCTCCTCTTGCTCATTTTAAAGGGAGCAAGAAATGAAAACAGTAATTGGTATAAATGTCATCTGCTTGGCAAATGTCACGAGATTTGCCCACGAATGAATAATGAACAAATGAATCGAGTTGGAAAGGACTCGCTGCCTTTGTGTCCTCATCCTGGAAGAAGGTTTTAGGCTTTTCACATGGATTAGCTTCATAATTCGTAGATTTTCAATATTTTTCCAAAAAAATCTTCATACATCATCATCACTCATTAAAATACATGCAGGTAGGACTTTGAGGCTGTGGGGCCCAAGGAGACAGTTCCACAGGCTCTCTGTGTTCCTGTCAGGAACATTCCATGTGACCACTGAGCTTTTAGGACACATGGGTGTATTTCTTCTTGACTTGTTGGCTGACTTTCTCTGTGTTAATCCTCACCTGACCTGGAATCTGCAATATTTTTGTGTTTACCACAGCCCAGTAGATTAAGGAAGTATTTCCCAATTCACCCTCTTTGTATTTCCTATATATTAAAAAACTTAACTGTAGAATTGCTGGAAGCAAAATTATAATAATATTTAATATGCCCCTGTATTTTTGCTGTTTATCCCTATCTCAAATCTGAGTAATCCAGCCAGTCAGAAATTATTCTTTAATGTTTACAAATGACCTCCAATGCTCTGAAAATTATTCTGTATTTATACAATGATCTGTTTACTGGAGATTCTAAATTTATTGCTGGTTTTTGCTGTCCAAGCCCCAGGACATGAATGTGTTCACTGGAAGTCTTTTTAGTGCTAATAAAAGCCCTGCTTTTGTAAGATGGGGACTGATGTTTACAGCAAAGGAATTTTATTAAAGCTTTTCTTCAATTTCCAACATCCAGTATTAAATGTGCAGCATTTTAGGACCTGCATTTTGACAAATGGCATTTTACGTTCAAACTGGAGTCAATATTGCAAACAGTACATTTTGTGTGAAATTTGGAAATTAGGCCTTAAAAATATTGTCTTTCATTTGCTACTGGCCAGTTTGCTGCTCTGTACAACTCTGTGTTTTCAGTGTGGTGCAGACTCAACGTACACAAGTTTTAAACTGATCAAAGACTGATCTTTCTTGTTCACAAAACAGTTCTGTATTTCAACATTACACTGCTGGGACTTGCCATTTGTTGCTTCTAAAGCCTTTCCCTGGCAGTGAAAGGCATCAATAACAACAGGCTGAACTTCCAGTCACTTGGGCCAGACTCTTCTTTCCCACCTCTTGCCCTGTGTGGTCCCAGCTCTTCCCCCTGTGTGTGGCTCTGTTGGGTGGGAAGCTTTGGCTCCTCCAAAGCTGAGATGGTTTTCAGCAGAGTTCTGCTGAATTTCTTTTGTCTCCTTCAGCATCCCTCAGCATTTCAGGCACTAAACTTCACCAGGAAAACTGATGAAACCACATCCAAGACCACCCTGAGGAATTCATCAGCAAGTGGCTTTCATTCTGGAGTTAAAGCTTGCCAAAAAGGTACAGTGGGAAGACATTCCCACAGAGGTTTGCCAGTTCCAAACCAGATTAGCAACAAGGACATGAATGTCAGCTAAAATATGGAATTGAGGAAGGTAGTCTGAGGTGTTTGATCCCTCTCATATCTATGCAGTTCCATCTAATTGCACTCTTTGGAAAGAAATAGCACATGAAAATGGAGCTTCTTACATCAATCATTTTCTTATTTGGTGCAAGTTATGTTATCAAAATTAACTTTTAAGCTATTACTTCCCGCTTCTTTAATATTTCAATTTATATCATTCTCTTTTCATTAGTAAGCTTATGATTGCCTGCTTAGTGCTTTGCCAGAGCTCATCAGGAGTTGAACCTACAGATTTTCAATTTAGGCCTTTTGTATCAGATTAATTCAACCAGTGAACCACGAGTGACATTATTTATGGACATGAGCCACCAAAGTACAGTCTGTTTAAAGCTCTGTGTGTAGGCAGTACTAATGATACTTAGAAATCAACCCAAAATACTTTTGCTCCTTTCAGTGTGTCTGCTCAGGTATCACTGTTCCACTTCCAAATTACCTATAGGAAGGCAATGCTGAGCCATCCACCTTTTAGGCAGAAAGAGTAATACCTTAGCATGCTTTTGAAAGACATATTGCTTCTGTCTCTGGATTTAAACCAGTCCTATAATATATAATAATTGAATTCCCATGAGCATCTGCAGTATTTTAAAAAGTGAGGCAGAAAAAAGTCATTATATTTCTGTGCAATATTTTGCATTTCTTGTTGTGCAGCCAGTTTTTTTAGAGGAGTCAAGGAAGGAAACCCCCAAATGTCAATGTGTATTGTATTTACAGTCTCTATCATCAATACCAAGTTCCTCTGTGCTCTAATTATTGGAAGAGGTGATCAGATATTGGAACTCCAGAAAATGATAAGAAGGAAAATCTCTTCTCTGCTTTGAGTTCTTCCTGTCATTCTGACCCCCTCGAATCTGTTGTGAAAGTCTCTGTTAAATTCTCAGGGCCAGTAATCAGAAGATCAAATTTTATCTCATAACAATCCCCTTCACAGCTCCTTAAAACTAAAAAGAGTTATCATTTCAAAATCCCTCAGCCTCAGGGTTTGGCCTGGTGGGTTTGGTGCTCTGGAGCTGGTGAGGAGGCATTGCCATGAAATGATGTTGAGCTGCCACATTCACTGTGCTTATCAGGAAAATAGGGGTTTGTTAAAGCCCATCTCCTGCTTACAAGCCTGAGATTTGGAATTTTACAGAGTCATTTAATGTTTGGAAGATCCACAGTCACCTTTCTTGTTTGTGATGTTTGTTTAGATGAAGGGGAGGTGGAAGATGTCCCTTCTCACTGCAGGGGGGTTGGACTAGATGACATTTAAAAAGTCCCTTCCAAGTGAAATTATTCTCTGATGCTGTGATATCTTTGATCTGTATATTCATTCTAACCACTTAACTGGCTGTCTAAAATAAATAAATAAATTAATAGCAGATATATCCTGATAGATTCTGTTACATTAATGGAGCATAATTATCAGGAAACATTTCTACAGATCCGTGCTATTAAATCTTTGTGGAATAGCAAGGGCAGGAAGATTAACAAGTTTTCAAATTAGTTACGAGAGAAGTATCAAGCCTTCAGCTTGTTTTCAATTATTGCATTTATGTTCTCTGCTTTCACAATGAAACCCTGAAAGATTCATTGCAAGTAAATACAGAATATTCAGTAACTGCAATTTAAAAAGTCAAAATTTCTGACAGATTCCAGGGAGTTATTTCCTACTCCAATTAGTATATTTAAAAAAAAAAATAAGAAAGCTTGCATTGCAGTCAGTGTAAAATTGCCACCTCTATGAAATCAAATATGGCAATTAGATAAAGTACTTCAAACTGTGGGGGGTTTAATGTTCTTGGATTAGCTCTTAACTTTGTAGAATTGTCTGTGTAGCTTTGGCAGTCCCAGTTTCTACTCAGTTCCCTGCTGTGATTTTTTTTAACACTGGAACATTTTGAGAAAGTGGAAACAGAAATGAGCTTTGAATGAGAACAGGCTTTCAGCTCTAAGCACTGAGGAGACGTGTTCTGGAGCCATCCAACAGAAGGGTTTTCCTGTCAATTCAGCAAAACATTTTCTAGGAATGTAAAGAATAGTTTTTGACAAGAAAGTCTCTCACCTCAGACATGTGAGTAGGAGGGTGAAGGGACCTTGAATCTATCATGTGAAACAAGAGGTTCTCAGGCAGAAGAGTCTGCTGGGTCTGCTGGCGAGTGGTTATTGAGTTCTCTTCATGGCTTGCCCTGAACGTCTGGAGTTTTTATTCCCCCCTCCCTTGATGTTAATTGGAGGAGGGACTTGGTCCTTTCATTAATTATGCAGAATTCACTGAGTAGCCTGATGGTTGTGGCACTCAGCTGGGATTCAGGCTCGACTGTGTCTGTGCTGCTGCTGCAAATAAAATCCACTCCATGACTTTTCAGTGTCCCACCTTTGAGATGTCAGTCAAATCAGACTGGGGGAGTCACCACCTCCTGTCTTGGTGGTATGATGCATTTATTTTATGTGAAGGTTGTGAAGAGAACCTATACCATATATTTATCCCCAACTGACTCAAGTATTCAATTATCATTTGCACCTAGAGAAAATAAGACATTTTTTTTCATTATTATCTCTAGAGACAGAGCATGGCTTTGCTCCTGGAAAAGTGTCCAGAGATATTTTCTCTCCTCTTTTTGTTGTTTGGAAGTGATCCAGCATTGCTGCTTTCGTGTTTTAATCCTACAGCGGTAGAAATTAAACATCTTGTATTAGAATTTCTGAAAGATGAAATCCTTTGCCTGGGTCTTCACTGCTTTCTGATTAATGCCAACTGCTAAAAAACTTTCTCAGTCTCCATTCTTTTCCATTTTCTGGCACAGTATCTTTAATAAGTGGATATCGCAAAGTAGATTTTTCCAATATCCCTCAACTTAACTTTTTTTTTCTTAGAATTCTCTTTGCATACTGAAGAACAGGCAATTTCTATCATTATCTCTCTTCATGCTTTTCCAGGGAGAGCAATTGCTTCAGAATGTTCTGAGGACTTGCTGCTACACCTGCAGGATTCAGGGAGGGGAAAAAGCTCACAAATCTTGTGAACATTAGTGATGTGATCACTCTTAACTACTGCAGTATTTCACTTGTATTACATTTGAACTCTAGCAGCGAAACTTGGCATGAAATAAATATTCCCTGGCAGTCTTTGTACTTTTCCCCTGTCTAGATCTGCACTCTGAAAAGAAATTATTTTGTCCCTTAATGAGGGCTTATGTTTTTTCACACATCTGAAGAAACATATTCCTAGAAACAAAATGCAGTTTTAAAATAAAAAATTTTTGTTCCTTAAGGCTCTTTTACAACTGTGTTAAATTTCAAAATGATGTCACTTTTCAAAAGAAAGAAGATACAACCAAGGGCTAAAGCATGCTGTGCACTTCATTGAAATCCCAGTTATGTTCATTGATAGATTTTTCTCTCCTGTTTATTTTTAGGTATTTTCATTTGTCCTCTGGCCTAAACTATTGTGAAGCCAATTTTTTTGAGGGATTTGAGGAAGGACTTTCACAACAGTTAAGATTTGGGTTAGAGGAGTTTTCTACTGTAGTCACAATTTTGCCCCAATTGGACTGAATCAATAATCTGTAAATTTTTCACGTAGCTAGAAAGGAATAGTTTTGTGAAGGTCTTGTGGAAGATATTTGAACTACTTAAATTATTTCACTTGTCCACACTCAAATTTAACCTATTTTGTTGTGAAGTAACATTTAAGCTGCCACTGGTGGAGAATGCAACCTTATGACTTCAAATTCTCTTGCAATCTTTTCAATTTTTCTTCTGCTTCCCCTTTTTTCTTTCTCCTTTCCCTGATGAAAATTTTGAGCCTTACAACTTTTTCTTGCTTACTGGTAATTTGTAAGAACCAATATGGTCTACTCATGTTAGTTTTGTTCTTGTAGCTCTGTCACAGCTTTATTATGATAATATCTAGGAAAATGTTCTTTAATATGGATGGGGAGTGACAGTTGGGAATTTGGCTCCACTGATTTATCCAGCCTTTAGCTTTGATCACCACACAATCCATCTTCTTTTATGAAACAAAACAAACCATTCTAATTAGTTGGTTGTTACCATCAGTGATCATCAGCTGTGGAAGACTAATTAACCTTGGTAGTAAAACATAATGTAAGTATTTTTTGGTTTTTGTTTAATGAGTTAAGAAGTCAAGAGAACAGAGTTAGTTAAAAAGAGATGAAAACACTAACGAAGACTCAAACCTGCTCCTCTAAACTCACATCTGGTCTCTTGCCTTGCCCAGAAGGCAACTGAGCAGACAGAAATACAGGAAACTTATATATCCTCTGCTTTTTCTTTCCTCTTTTTTATAAATTCAGTCTTTGTACCTTATTGGCATTTAAGTTGATGGCTCGTGTTGAACAAAAAGGACGTTTTATAGTTTTGTTCTCTAAATTATTCTGTCCATTCCTCATTGCCACACGTTGTAATGTGTGTGCCATTATTCCGGTCATTCATCCAGCTTTAAATCTCTTTCAAGTCCTTTGACAGATTTTTTCAGTCTTAGTTAATCCAGTTTACCTGAAGCCCAGCACTGCCAAATTGAATTACACCGCGGTCAGTCCTGCTTAGCACCTCATCCATACCTAATTTCTGGAGCCTCTATGTTTTATGTGTGTATAAATTTTTCATTTGCAACAATACTTCAGCTTAGCAAAAGGAGAGCTCAGAAGGCTGAGGGTTTTGTTGCTTAGTTCCTTCATTAGTTCAGGATTTTGTGCTTGGTTTTGGACCAGCTGCCTGTGTAACTGGGGTTCATATTCCTTTCAGAAACTCGTGTAGTTTTTGATGAACACGATGGGAGCTGCTCATTTGCAGCCCTTTCCAGCACACCAGCAGAGTGCTGAGTGCTGAAATGGGAGCCCTGCCCTCCTCACAGCTGGGGAGAGAACAGCGCTGGCACTGACACCTCAGGATCACAATCAAGAGGAGATAAATCATCTGTAGACACTTGGTCAGGAAATACAAGCTGAAGATTCAGTGTTACTCATATTCAGTAGAAATTCCCATTAGCCTGCATGATGGCTTAATGACTATGTTTTGGTATGATGCTGAAGTATGATAGTATGACGTTGGGTGGATAATTCTTGCAAATTCCTACAGAAGATGTGTTGGTGTAGCCAGGTTGGTGCTTGTTCTGTGCTGCTGCTCCATTTATGCAAGAAGGGTTTTTTCTTTTACTGGTGTGTGGAAGTCAGCAGCTTCTTTTTACCCTTTTTTGCTTTCAGATTTTTGTATTATGCTATAATATTTTGGTAAAAGCTGAGTTTCAGTTAAATGCCACTGTCTGCACCAAAGTTCTGTTTGGAAACGTGTGCATATTGTTCAGCCTAGTTCCCTGTCTGCCTTTGCAGATTGATGCATGATCCCTGCTCTGTGCTGTTGATGTGGTTCTGCTACAAGAAATGACTGGGCTCAACATGAGGTGCCCCTTGTTCTTGACAGGGTGGAAATGTCACTAGGAACAAACAGATGTACGTACAGCATTTGGAGGATGAGGTACACATCTTGTCAAGAGTTACCTCTTGTGATAACTAAACTGTTGAAAACTCATATTCAGTGGTCTGATTACCTGTTTAGAGGGCTCTCTGCTAAATTCCAAAAGGTAGGGAAAAAGTTAGGATCACTAGAATTAAAAAATAAGCCCAGATAACAAATGTGATGAGAGGGAAACAGCAGCTGGAAAACAGAGGAGCTGATGTGAGAAGAAATATGGTGTGTTTGGTTTTGGCATAGTGAGCTTCCAATGTGGACAAGGTGTTCCTGAGAGGAAATCACAATAATTGGACAAAGAGACAGAAGGATAACCCAGAGCCAACACCTGTAAAGTTTCTCAGACTTCCAAGGATTGAAGTGTGGAAAGGCAAGACTAGACTATTACAGGTAAAGCACCAAAATGATATTGAGATACCACTTAGAGAGAATGTAATACTTAATATGATACATCCTAGCAGAGAGGGAAAGAATAGTCAAGAGGAGATGAAGAAATAAATGAAGAAATAACTGCTGCTCCAAGAGGCCTCATTTTTGAGGTTGAATGAAGCAGAAGGAAGTTTCAGAGGTAGGAGGGGAAAAGTGCAAGGAAAAGGAGATTGGTGGGAAGGAGGTCAGAGCAGAGTGGTCGGGCTGAAAGACTGGGATCAAAATGGTTAAATACAACAGTGAGTAGGAAAGGGCATTGCAATTTTTTCACAATTTTATAAAATTTTCCTTTAACAAGCTGATCAGATCTTGAGAAAATAGGGGTGGAGGAGAGAGTCAGAGATGCCAGTCAGGCAGGAGGCAGAGCACAGACAGTGGGATTGGAGAGAGGAAGGGTATTTTATGAAGAAATGCAACAACATTGGGGGAAAAAGAATGGGATTAATTTGCAGTGAAAAAATTAGTGCAATCCCTAAATTTCCACCACAGCAGCCGAGAAGTGGTAGAAGGAATAAGAATAAAGTCCAAGAACTCAAAAGTGAGTAGCTGAAGAACAGTGGAGGGAAGGGGATGGAAAGACAAACTGTTGAGAAAGCCATCTGAGAGCTCACAGCAATAGAGCTCAGTACACCAGAAAAACATGGTCCAAAGAGTGGCCATTTCTTGAGAGTGAGATGGTTGATTCAGGATTAGTCCAATGAGTTGATAAAGAGGAAGAAACATTGACCCTTGTTCAGTCCATCAGTCTCTCATAAGCTAAACTACAAAGGATGAAATGGAACAATATCACAGTGGTGAGAACACAGATGTGTAGGTGACCACTGCACAATAAACAAAGGGAAATGTGTGCTGAAGTGGAATTTGAGTGATTGAAAGTAAGGTGGCACATCCTAAGCCAACAACACCATCTGCACAAAACTGATTCCTATTGAATAACTCGGCAGCAAAGTATTTAAATTCTTTCTTTTTTTTTTTTTTTTTTTTTTATAAAACCTGTTAAAGTCCCAGGTAATGTTATGCTTCCTATCTAAACATGCCACTGGTCACTCTTACTTTTTAACATGGTAAAATCAACTTTTGGGGAAGCTGCTATAAAACGCTGACACTTCCAAAAGTATAAACGCGCAGCTAAGTCGCATTTTTGATGGCAGCTGGAGCCTCCATGGTAGGGAAACCTATGGAGCTGCATGCTCAAAGAATATGGGAAGAGAGGGGGGTTTGAAACGTGTGGTTGCCAGGCTTCGTGATTCAAGGGCACAGCAAAGTGAAATCTTAATAACTCAGTGAAAGCACCTCCCGAAACGCGCGTCCTGCGGTTTCCACAACTGTGTCCGTTGCATTCAGCTTCAAATTTCTCCTCGAGGTGTGTTGCACCACGTGCTGTCTCCACACTGGATCATGTGCATCATAAATTAATGTGATTATGTAAATTCTGTCTCTCAGCTGGGACCTTCCTGAAGCTGCAGTCACCTTTCATTAAGACCCAGCCTGATGGAAGATGGGTAATGCTCCTGATGGCCTCATTTGAGAGCTGGGAAGGGTGTAGATATTATGAGCTCCATCTCCAGCATCAAATAAGCAGACAGGCAGCACTGAATGTGCTGAGAAATGCAGCAGAATGTTTAGACATTCACAGTCCTGAGCTCTCTTAAATCAGCAGTGCTGAATAAGCAACAGGGGCATTAGCCTATTTAGATGCTAAAAAGGTTGGGATTTTAAAATTACCCGGCTCCTTATAGTATTTATAACTGATTTGGTTTGCATGCCTTTTACTAACATTCATTTTATTCTGACACAGGAAACTGCATTCTGATTATTTCCCCAAACCAACCTTGTATAGTGGATTTTGACTACACTCTGGAGGTGGCTTTGGGATTGATTTTTTTTTTTTTTTAAATTGTCTTTTGTTTGACAAGCCAATTCTATGCAGAAATCACACATGAGTTCTTAGGTAATCAATGCTAATTGTAAAAATCCTCAACAGCTTAATCTGCTGTAGATTTCTTGAGAATTTAATAAGCCTCTCTCATAATAAAATGTGTCAGAAGGGGCAAATATTTTGCTAGCACAGCTTGTAACTGATTGTTTGTACCATGGCAGCAAGTATTCACACAGCAGAAGTACTGTGCAGTCATTTTTAAAAAGAAACATTTGGTTTAGTGCCTTAAGGGCAAGAATTTTTACAATATTTTTAAAAATTCATTTACTTTCTCATCCCTACCAGCAATATGTCAATTTTTTTTGGTGTGGATTGCATGTTATTCGCCTCAAGAAAAAGCAAAAGCAACATAATGAAGCAGAACTCAGCTGAGCTGTCTAAGGATGCTTTGGGGGGAGGGTGTTGATTTTTTCCCCTGCGGTTGCAAAGTGACAACAAGATTTTCTGAACCTTTTTGCTTCAGAAAAGAAAACAACAGAAAAAAAAACCCAACCAAACTCTCACTTTTTTGGGCAGTAGGGCATTTTGGAGTATGAAATTAAGGATTGTGTTGCCTGTGACTGAACTGGGCCATTGCAAGAATAAATAAGGCTGAGTCATGGACTGTGCTGAAGGACACAGAGCTGGTGAAGATCCCAGGGTGGGTTTGCCACCTGTTTCAGCCCCTTGATTTGTCCCAATGGTTTCATCCTGCCAGACAGCTGAATGTCTGCAGAGACATGAGGCAGTGGAGTTTGGATGGTGTTAAACCTCACAGACCTCTGCACTTGGCCAAGAACGAGGATGGTTTGAAAGCTTCTCTGTCCTCAGCTTCTGGGAGAGTCGTGTTGGAACTTTACAGAGTTATTAAATGCTGCCAAGAAATCTGCCTCGATCTGTAGCCTCACCAAGTAACCTGCACCTTTGTGTCTGCACAGCTCAGGCCACCCAGGGTTCAACCCTGGAACTAGAAATATGAGCTGGAGCAGGGAAGTGGTGGGACACGACCGCTCTGCCACATTCAGGGAAAACAATTTTGAAGCTGTCTAATTGCATGGAACAGGGCATGGTGAGGGAGGATCAGCTTTCCTCCCCAAACAAACCTGACAGCTCAGATTAATCTCACACACCATCAGCAATTCAGCTTCCTTGGAGATCTTGGCAAGCTCTGCCAGCAGGAGGAGGCAGACCTGATCAATACATTATCTTAATATCAAAATAAAGAGATCCTGGGCAGAGAAAAGGTACCTTTATCCTGTTAGAATGTATTCTTTTTTTGGGAACAGGGAAAAAACCCATAGGCTGTCAGAGAAGGGAAGAAAGGCCAGTACCCCAAAAAAAATATTACATTTGCTGCACAGCTCACCTTTAAGTGCTCAATGCCAAGTTCCTGCATCTCAGCATGAGAAATCCAGGGCTCAGAAGTGGCTGCTGAAGATTCCTACAAACCAAGGAGTGGGGAGGAAGATTTCAGCTTTAATTATGAACTTCCTGCTATCTTCCCTCCTCCTTTGAAATTCAAGGCACTTCACTTTATTTTTACATAGTTTAGTGTCTGAGATTCCTTTTTATGTTGGTAGAAAAATAATGATGAAAAGCAAAATAATTCTCTTATGAAAATTCATGAGAACAGGCAGAGTTTAGAAGCTGTGTTATTTATTCAGGAGAGCACAATGACTTTTAAGAACACTGGGATTTTATGTTTGTATGGATTTTTTGGTTTGGCTCCTTTCCTTTGTGCACCTTGCCTGTTTACACACAACTCTGCAGCTGTTGAGCATATGTATTAGGTCTGAAAGTTAAAAATCATCTAGAACTTAAAAAATAAATTGCCTGTAAGCACCATAATCTGTTAGTTAAGACTGTAAGGGGAACTTTCAAACTCTATTTTTATGTGTTGAAGTGCTCAAAGGCAGAAATCCATGTGCTTCTTTAATGGCCTTAATAAACAATCTTAGCATTTTTAGTCCAGGAATAAGTAAAGCCAGGAACTAACATCTCAGAAAGATAATTGTACTGAGAGACCCTGATACTGTGCAAGAGTTGTCTTGGCAGTTTAAGAGTATTTATAATGACATTTATATCTGTTTAGACACAGACCTTGCTGTTTGCTGAGCAGCCTTGCTCAAGTAGTTGCACTCAGGGGTTCTCTGACTTGGTGTTGCTGGATATCAGAAATCATCTCAGCCTAACACACTGCACTTCTGGCCTTTTGGGTCCTCAGAATCTCTGTCAGCTTTTCCAAGTCCTCTGTTCCTTTAAAGCACACAAGAAAATATAAAATAAAAGAGTCCTTTTCCTTGCAGAACCAACAACCCTCAGCATCCTGTGCCCCAAG